TTTCATTTTTCGACTGATGATGTTATGAGTTCATAACGAAACGTCTCTAATAAAATGATAAAAACGGTGTCAATTATTCTCTTATTTATATTTAAATGTTTTCACCGTATAAACAAAAGAAAGTCTATAATTAGAATACTTTTGGACTAGGTTTAAGAAAATGAGAGAAATTTTGAACATAAATCAGGAATGTGTAACTTCACTCATGAATAACTGTAACTCCCAGAATTGTTCTGAATCGTCAATTCCGATTATTTTTAGAATTTTTTTCTACCTTTCTGTCTGTGAATGTATTAACAACTATTAATACATTTACATTAACACTGCTTTCTCATACGTATCAGAACAGTAAATGTATGCAGTTAAACAAAATTACATTTTTACATATTTTTATTCAACGACTCCGTGATAATTTTCATTAAAAATTTGCTTTGGCTAAAGAGGCATCGACCTCTGGTATGAAAAAAAATTGACGCCAGATAACTTTGTGCTGCATAAAATGTAAATAAACCTTGGTCACTTTCTGTATGAAAGATTGATAGAAGACCTAAAACTTGTAGCCATTTCACTTATTTATTCGATCACACTTGGCTATTGTAGAGTCTCTGATATTATCAAACAACTTCAGCACACGAAACTTATACGAAATAAACATATTTCTCTTCCTGTCTTTGCGCTATTCAAATCAAAGAAGAAAAAAAAATATCAATAAGTTAAAATGAACGTGAAATCCATTCAATATCAAAATTAAACTTCAACTTCTTAGTTGCAATTGTCCATCAAACGACGACCATATTTTACAGAAGAAAAAAAAACTATAAAGAAGCATATTCCAATAGTTTGTTAAATTATTAGTAACCAGAAACATTACTAACAGTTCTTTTTATCGTTTTCATGTAAAGTTGATAATGAGCATGGATTATATAATCTGATGACCATTCAGATAACAAAAATAAAGCACAAGGTTCAAAAATTATTCCTGTCCCATTGTAAAAATAAGCTATATTACTGAAGGGCGCAATACATTTTAAACTAATTTCATTATTATTAGTTATTTATAAAAATAAGCATAAGCGATAGCAGATCGGAGATAAAGCATAGTTTTACCGATCGATCAGATGGAGCCTTTAGAACAACATGTGGCAACTAAATATCTAAATTCTTTACCTATAATAATACACACACAGACACTGAAGAATTTTCTTTTTCAACACTTGCTTAATGTAATATCTTCTATTTTATAAAACTAACTACTTACATATGAACTATATTGTGTATAGTTTCGATATTGCGGATGAAAATTGTGTATAGCATCGTGCATAATATCTTTTGGATTCATTGTCTCTTTTAAATTTGACGAAATGCTATGCATCGTTGCTGGACGTTCTGTACCACCAGATGAGGAATAAAGACTATTAATGGCTATTGTTGATGAATACGCTGAATCAGACATGTACGGATGATGAGGAAATGCAAAACGAAGAGCAATTGCTGCTAAACTCATTTCAATACAAATCAAAAAATTTTGCCAACCTTAAATATAAGATAAGTGAAAGAACAATGAAAAGCAACGAACATCTTAAAATTCACTTTAATTACCAGCAGCTACTGTTCCGACATTTAAACGTGTTGCTCCTTGAAATGCCTGGATGATTTGTAGTTGTTCAAGAATGGCCAAAAGAACACCTATAGTGACGAAAAAAACTTGACCAAAAGAGAAAGTAAAAAAATCTTAGTCAAGTTACCTTGCCAAAATGTTAGAAATATGACTGATTTTACGGTAAGAAATTTAATTACGGGATCATATTTTCTTAAAATTGATTTTGTGGCTGCATAAAATAAGAAGAGACCATACAAAGCTAAACTAACGGAGATGTTATAAATGATTGTCAGGTACAAATAACCAGATTTGGCACTAATAATAAATAACAATGACAGTTTAATTGACAGAATGGAGAAAAAGTGTAGTTTTACCTAAAATCTCCATCCCGGTAATGATTAAATGCTTGTAGTATTAACGTTACAACAGCCATGATGGGTTTAATCAAACAAAATTGTAATGTTGCCTAAAAAATATAAAAGTTTAGTTATAGAATTAGTTTTCTTTAAGAAAAGAGTAACAATAATTAATCTGAACTAACTTACTTGTTTACAAAATCTTAAAAACCCGATTGTATATTCTCTATTTGATAAAAAACATGTACAATACCACCAACTCCGCCTATAATAAAAAGGAAACAATGAATAATGGATGATTTTTTACGATTTTTCAAAACATTAAAACTATCCTATAACTACATAAAATTATAATCAACATTTTCTAAGAATTTCTTGAACTTACTCGATATTTTTGCCTCTAATTTCAGCCATAATCGCTGACTCACCACCCAAATATTCATAGCAAAGACTCAAAAAACTGTAGATGACGAATGCTAGAATGAACAAATAAATCAAACTAAGCAAATATATATATGTACATGTATTCTAACAGTATGTCTCTTCTGATGCAAAACGATACTCACATTCATAGCAATCTCTGATGGCATGAAAATAAACATAATAACTTTCGTTATTAAACATAACCAAGCTGAGCCAAGAGACAAAGGAATAAATTGGAACAATGAATAGAAGACGAATAATCCATTTTTGTTCACTTGGTACATTATAGTACCGTAAATGACAATAAATCTAAATTAGAATATTCTGAATAATAGATAAGTTCATTAACAATCTTTTACCTGATGTCCTGTGATCAATATAGCGGCCCATGTAAATGCTCCAGCGATCGTTTGACAACCAGTAGTTTGAAGAAATAAATGACCATCATAAAACCAAGATCGATCAGGCACAATTGATTCGATAGTCATATTGTTAGGATATGTTGTAGTTGTTGTAGAAAATTTCGAACGGTTTAAGGTTGTTGAATCATCCATGGCTGCAATCTAGGAGATACAAAATAAAAATAAAAATCATATCAGTGTAATTCTATTAGTTGCGGTCTGCCTAATTGAGAAGAGAGTAATAGTCACATAAATTATTTTTTTATCATTCTAACCAGTGTTTTTAATGATTAGTGGGTCTCGCTTGACCAAAATGGGTTGCTACTTTGTTTTTAGCAGGGAAAACATGGAAAATGCAGTGGTAAACTGGGAAAACCCACTTTGCTTAAAATTCCTATTAAAAACACTGATCCTAACAAGTAGAGTTTTCGTTTTTCACTTGGGTACTTTGAGGCGATTATACAAGACAGTTAGTTCATCAACAAAGTATCATCCCAGGTAAATATCACTCTTCTATTTAACTAATCTACTTTTATTATTTTTCGTGGTGCAATCTTTTGATTTTTAATTAACATACCTTCTGATACTTATCTTAGTCTTGTTCTTTTTTTTTTTATTAATTCTTCTTTTTTTTGATTATATTCATGAGAAATTAGGTCTTGTCTACACTACAAAAGTTAAAGGAGCTTTAAGGAATTCTATTGGCTAAAAGTTAAGTGAGAAGTTAAGTGATGTTTTCGACATCACTTAAAGTTAAAGCACCAATAGTAATTCGCGTAAGAAAACCAATGAAAAATCTGTTCCCGCCTTTACGATGACAACATAAGATAGATTTACGATCTGTGTTGGAAAGTGTCCTTTAATCAATTTCTAATAGAAAAACGATTTAATTGTTCATAATCTTTAGGTTGTTGAATTTCAATATTTCCTTTACAGTTGCGTGCCAACCGAATACATGTAATAAGTTTTAATAAGTTTAGTTTAGAATCTGCTTTGTACACGACTATCTTATTGCATAGCTGCATTATCCTGCACTACTGTTCACCATGATACAGGTAGAATTGAAATTCTGTTGGAATATTAACTTTATAGTGTAGACACCTTCAACTTTAACTTTCAATTATCTCAGAGTTAAAAGAGAAAAATGTGTAGTGTCCCAAGACTAATCTATTTTTACAATTCAGGCATGCTTGATTCACAGTATCTATCTCATGCGTTATACAGGCATACAAGAATCGAGTCAGAGACGTGATTCGCGTCTATGTATACGGGCACGCTGCTTGACAGCAAAATACATGAATTTTGTCACTTCAAGCGACATGCATTTTTCGGTCTGTTAAGATGCATTCTGTTCTCTCATTTTTCTATTCACCATTTTGTTTTATCAGCGCAACAGTTATATAACCATTACAGTTTACTTGTATATATACTTAT